TAATTTTTTGCACACCATTCTGAAGAGATTGCTTCTTAGCTAGTGATTGCTTTTAAAGATAACCTAGAATGGATTCAAGGATTTAAAAAAGGCTTTAAAATATGTAGCATGGTAATTTTAAGAAACAGTAGCTTTTACAATTGTTAAATTTTTTCGCCATGGGAAAAATGAGAGAAAGCTGTGAAATTTTAAGATAATTTTTTAATTCAGAAAAATATTATACTGTATTCAAATAACACGTATATGACTCAACTAAGTGGTCACATAAGGTTTCAGGTAGGATTCTACCTGTCACATTTTTTTATGTTAAAAGTTGTCAAGCGAGCAGACGGTATACTCATTACTCACCTGATGTTAAGTGATTATCGCCGCCCATGAACATCTACAACACTTGAGGGGCCGCAGATGCGTTGACAACCATTAAAATAAGTGGGCCCCGGCTACCTCACTCACCAGACGAAACGCGAAAGTATCATACTCCCATTTCGCGCCGGTCTTCTGTGAGGCCGTGGTACTTCCATGGACGAGCCTGCCCATATGTGCAACAGCCGAAGCTGCTACGTGGCCCTACCACAGATAATCATCATTGTATTTGAATATCACATGTATTTAAAAATCATATTGTATTTGGTCACCAATAATTTGTAATGTCTAATATTGAGCTTAGTGGGAATTTCAATAAAGCCGTAAAATTTTTGGATCAAAATGAGTCTTCCAACAAATTCCGGTGAAACATGAAATTTTTATTCGTTTTTATTTTTTCTAACATGTTATGTCAAAGATAAGTTAATCGCAAGATTTATATCTATAAAATTCTAAGGCAGTTTTATATAAATTATAAGTATTATTAATTAGACTCATTTATAATTCTTGATTTCCAATTATGCATTCTTGTCAGGTGTAATACTTGACATGAATACAAAATTGGATAATACCTGATAATTGTAATAGTTACATTTAAAACTGTATGTATTTGAAATACTGTTCTGATAACGAAATTGAAGAATAATAAATAAATGTTATTATACCTTTTTAATTTTACTAAATGTTATTGTGAAATATAATGTTGTCTGTTTATTTATTTTGGTTAATACTTGAAAAACTTAGATATAATCAGTATTAATTTGAAAATATAGTGTATGGTAAAGTGTGTTTTTATTTAGACGAAATTTTTCGTTTCGTCTTCTCGCAAATGTAAAATAACTTTTTACTATTTTCGTGTTGGTTTTCTTAGTACTGTTTTTTAAAGCTTTCTATCGATTTTAACTAACACTAGGGATACGAAATTTATGTAAAAAATTAGCAAAGCAGTTGTAACGCAATATATTTAACACATGGTATACAGAAAAGTGAGTATAAGGTGTAAATAAAGATAAATAAAATTCTTTTCAATTTTTAACTAATGAATTCTTTTTATTTACGCGAATTTTATACATGGTTAAATTAAACTATCGAAAGGATTTTTTTCTCGTTTTGTTTATTATTTATTTGTAATTAAATGTTAAATTATGTGCTTCTGATGACATTATTAGTTTTTTTATATTTTATTATTTTAATAGTAAGTTTATTTATAGATAACTGCTTCTACGTTGGCTTTAGCAGATATATTTCAGTTTCAAGTCTGACATGTTTGTCATGTATATACGTGAGAAGAAACCAAAAACATTTTTTATGTGTGAAGCTGACAAGCGAGCTGGCGGTTCACCTGATGTTAAATGAAAAGTTTAATAAACCGGATAGCGGTGACCTCACTCACTAGACGAAAGGCAGAAGTGTAATACTTAAACTTCACGGCGGTCTTCTGTGAGGTCGTGGTACTTCCCCGAAAGGACCTGAACATTTATGAAATAGTGAAGACTCTTGCTTGTCCCTTTCACAGTTGTTATTACTCATTTCAAATGTATTAATGTGAGAAATCCGGAAATATGACATAAATCTCTGTAAAAATAAATGACTATTCCGCACTAACTACAAAGGGTTAAGGCGTATATTATGTAGTTACGTTTGACAAGTCCGTACCCGCAACAGCACGAACTTGTAAACCACTCCAAGCATACACAAATCCGTATTTACGACACATATTTGAAAACATTTTTTAGAGTTGTTACTATTTTAGTTTTATTTATCTTTTAAATAATTGGTATTTGAAAAAAAAAAATGAATTGTACACAATATATTGATGAATAAAAGGAATTAATAAAATTAAAAATTTGTTTCTAATTTTGATAGGTCGCTTTATGTGGAGTTCATCTTAAATATTCATCGGTCGACACGAAAATTTACAGAAAAATTATCTAGAAATTTCCCAGAGTAAGAACGTGTGATTTCTTTACTGTTAATTGTACCAATGTCACATTTACTGCACCTATAGGATTTCCCGTTTCTATACGTATATGCCGTTGATGTGTGTTTCATTTTGTAGTCGTTTAACGGAAAACTATGTCAGTCACCAGCACCACTCCGCTCACTTCGCGTGATAGTGCCTCATGCATATTTGAGCCTGTGCCTAGCTATTGCGGCACATTGAATGTTTTATTATTTTTAGTTTCACAAACATAGTCACAAGGTATGTAGTACAACAGATCAGTGGCAATCGATTACGATGGAAATAGAAACTGGTACAAGGGCTATTTTTCAATTGACCCACATTTCTTTTGTTATGCGTATTATATTTGTTTTGCGTATCAAAAATATTTCTTGATGTCCAAAAATGATCAATCGAATTATTAAGTAATAATCCTAAAGTACTAGATAAAACCTAATGAAATATTATTAACTTCTATAATTTTCATCATGCTTATAAGTTTGTTAGAGATGACAACAAACCGCATATCACTCAGTAAAATAAAACATCTAACAAAGTAACACGGCATGATTCCAATCTGTAAAATTTTTACTATCACTTCTTTTCCTCTTTCTTTTTTAGTTATATTGTTAAAAATTATGAGAGTACATTTTTATGATAAACGCGCTAAAATGTATGAAATTTGCAATATTATATAGTCGATAAATCTCTTTAGTAATGAGTCAAACAATAATGATATATCAAAACCCCAAAATATTTAAAATAATGTGAGTAACTATTTCTTTTTTTGAAGTTGTTTGGGTTGTTTCTAAGGGTGGTTGAAAATTTCTGCACAATTGTTTTTCTCTAAAATTCATATAAATAGGTGAGTAGTTCATATTTATTCTCTGTTAATCCTCAATGGCTTGTGTCAGTCTCATGTTGATTTTAGCAAACATATAATTAAAAATAGTTACTCCCTTCATATATTCAACTGATTTTATATTGTTTGGTATTTGTTACTTTTGTTGGTTTTCCAATTAATGATACAATGGGTGGTGAGCTGGTGTCCTGTATTTACGAGTTTTTTCAATACCTACTGCAGGCACCAGCGATCCACAAGTAATAAATGAATATATCCTTTCAAGTGGATCGAAAAGTGTAAAGAAGTAATATTATTTTTAGCTATTATTTGTGGTGAGAAATAAATATTTTATTATTATTAAACACGAGCCAAAAGTCTAAAAGTAAAAGAGTCATAAAAAATGTTTAAATATTCATATAAAAATGTTAAATGACTCTTTGTGGCATCAATATAAGCTAACATGAGTGCTCTGAACCGCCACTCTCGAAACTGCATAGGCAGCTACTTCAGACGGGGCGAAATAATATCATTGAAATTCTCGTTTTACTCTGTGTAAATTGTTAATGAAGCGTATAAATAAGCCGTTGAGCGGTAGTCTAGTAGTAATACTTATTTTAGTTAATTTAAAAGTTAAGTTTTATTTAAATTAATAAATTAATTTACTATTAAGGTTAGGTTACATTATAACAGAAAAACGAATAGTCAAATTTTCCGTGAGATGGTTCAAAAGAGTAATATTTGAGTCAGATTAGATCCTACAAAGTAGCATTGTAGGATCTAATCTGACTGTTCAAGAGTTTGGGGCTAGACTATTTAAAAGTGAGAAAACTTAATAGTTCAGAGTACTGATAGCTTTGTTATTTAAAACTGCATTTCATTTTGTTAACTTATGCTTTATTGTTACTCTTGCTTATGGTTTTTTATAGTTCGTGGAAAATAAATTACTATTAAACTTGATGAAAGTTGCTTAATTTAATGTTGCTTTAATATCTATCAGTATATTGAGAAATCCGCTTTTGGAAGTTTACCTTAAAAATATTAGTATCTCAACTACATACCGTGATTGGAGTAGAGACTCTAAGGTTAACATTGGCCAAAACAATTGCATTTTTCCTCCGTAAGTAAATGATAATGCGTGGCAAAAGCAAAAGAACATCACCATTTTAAAGATTAAAGATCACTTAAATATTTCAGACCCATTTTTAGACAACGTTCTTTAGTCCCAAACTAAGCAACGCTTGTACTATGTATACTACTAAAACTGATAAATATAAGTATGTAGAGATTAGCACTATAAAAAACTTTAAATTTTAAAAGCAGTGGCGACATCTCTCCTTCGATTTTATCGTTGTAAAACGATATTTGAAATTGTTTGTATGCTGGACAGGATATAACAATAGATGCGCCAACCATTGTTTCAAATGCTAAATAACAACGTAGAAGTCAAATGGCATTTTTATTACAATATATTTCGGCTTCGAATCTAACTTGGACACTTATTATAAAAACCAGCCAAGTGCGAGTCGGACTCGCGCACGGTTTCCGTATATCTACAAAAACGGCAAAAAAATCATGTATATGTATCACGCTTAAATATTTTTTTACTCTGTTTTTAGTAATTGTTGTTATAACACCAACATAATTACATCATCTTTGAAAACTTCAACTGTCAAATTATCACATGGTGACAGACGGACAGACAGACAGCGGAGTCTTAGTAATAAGGTCCCGTTTTACCCTTAGGGTGCGGAACCTTAAGGACGTATTCCGTATGGATTGCTTATTCGAATTGTTACAAGTGGTTCCTTGGTTTCAGAAGCAGCATGGCATGAGTGGCCGGGTAGGCGCGACATGCGGCGTGCGCCGCTCGCGCAACCTGCCGCCGTCGCTTTTGCGCTCTTCGTTCTTTTCCACTTCGTCAAAGCTGGTTTGTCATCAGTTGCAATTTTTTAAAAGTAAATTAAATTAGTAGGTAGCCTACCTATGTCCAACTGTTAGGTAGTTTATATGTGGTAGGGCCCCGCAGCTGCCGCGACTGTTGCACGAATGGGCAGGCTCGTCCGGGTAAGTACCACGACCTCACAGAAGACCGGCTTTGAGTGGAAGTATAACAAATACTTTCGCGTTGCATCTGGTGAGTGAGGTAGCCGGAACCCAATTTTCAAAAGGTCGTTAACACATCTGTAACCCTCGGGAGTAGCAGATATTCATGCGCGCCAGTATTCACTTAACATCAGATCACATAAAAAAAAGGCAAAGGCCACTTCTGCACACAGTGTATTAGGGTATAATGCACCACGTGACCCCACTGCAGATTGGTAGACTTCACATGTCTTCGAACTATATTTTTTTGGTTCCTATTATTTTCACTAGTTGAGCAAATGATAATAAGTTAGCACTTAAAATTAACATTTTCATTGGCGTCGGCACCGGTATTTGAACTCTGTTCAAGTATATCGAATTAAAAGTGAGCCACGGATACATTCTAATGTAATATTATTTTAGTATGAAATTTTTCTTCGCTCCGTAGCCGTTCGTAATTGGTCTGACTGTTTCAGGATCAATGGGCCCTGGTGTGCCTGAGAACATAACTGTGACTTTCTTAAACCCAACGACGGTAAGAGTTTCGTGGTCCACCGCTGCGGATCTTGTAGAGAAATATGACGTCACGTACAAACCATCTGATGCGAGGTAAGTGAACGATTTCAAGCGAGTACCATTATTGCTTTGACTGTTGTCTTGTCTTTACTATTTTCTATCTATGTGCTGTTATTGGTGTTCGTAACGGTTTAGCGATTATTTTCCGTGAAATTAATAATTTTTTGTTGTTGTAATGTTTGATATTTTATATGAATAATGGAACATTAAACGGTATATAATATTTTCAATTGTACACATGAAGCTTTTTATGTCGCATAGTATCTATAAACGTGTTTGACGACTAATGCAATGCATATGCAATGCTTATGCATAGCTTATAACGTTACCATACAACTTATTAGAATTAAGCAAAAGTAACCATCGTATATTAAACTTGTTTGAAAGTTTTAAGTCTGCCTCGTTATTTCCATTCGCTAACTTTTACAAAGTAACATTTTACTGATAGTATTACTTAAAACTTGTTCATTATAAGGAATTTTAGGAATTTCACTTGCACCCCACCGTGCACCGGTAGCAATTAAAAGTTTTCGTCATACCATATTCAAACTAGTCGTAAAGAAATTCAAAAAAATAGTTGTCCCACACGGAACGCCATTCACATTACTCTTTTCATTTAATAAAGAAATATGAAAAAAAACTTTTAAAGAATATTTTCTAATCATTTGATGACTCCGTGGCGCAGTTGCCAAGGTATTGGCTTCGGCGTCGGGGGTCTTGGGTTCGATTCCCCCACGGGACAACTATTTGTGCGACCCACAGATAGTTGTTTCGCATCTTGGTGTTTGTCCACGTGAAATGTATGTTTGTAAAAACGTCCTCACAACACAGGATAACGTTTATCCCAAAGTGAGGGCAATGTGTAAAAAAAAACAAAAATCATATGAGAACTTAATTTAGAACCATGAGAATTTAATTTAGGTACAGAAACATTTATGTAATCAGATATATTAAAGTTATGATAACATTTGTAAAATTAAGCCAAATAGTAAATAAATGTTCAGACACGTAAGGATGACACGTAAGAACTTATCACCGTCTATTTATTCTGTTCTCCGAATTGACTTCATCCTTCATTCTTCCTTCTTCATTGGTATGTTAATTAAAAGCAATGAAATTGACTCATCGTCCGTTAGTTACAGAGTGGTGTTAGAAGTGGCGGGTAACTCTGACGCCGTCATTCTTAGCGGACTCGAGGCAGATACACAGTATCAGGTTACTGTAGCGGCTCTTTGGGGAGGATATAAGTACCGCAGCAGGCCTATTGTCTTCCGCACGCTGGGTAAGTTTAATGGTAGAAGGTTATATGTGTAGAAGTCTATATCATGATGACACAACGCTATCATTTTATTGGTTTATCTAATAACGCCATTCGAAGATTAGTTTTTTGTACATTTGGTTCAAAGTAATTCTTCTAAATTTACAAAAAAATCTGGTGATCTTAATTCAATTATAAATATAATTCAAAAATCAATGAAGAAGAAGACGAAACGCAGAAGTGTTACACTTCTGCGTTTCGTCTGGTGAGTGAGGTAGCCGGCGCCCACATTATTAAAAGGTAGCAACACATCTGCAACCGGTGTAACAAATGTCCGTGGGCGGTAGTTATCATTAAATATCAGGTGAACCGCCAGCTCGTTTGCCACTTTCACATATAAAAAAAATAATTTGTCATTTCATGTGATAGGCTTTCTTATTGATAATTTGCAAGCGTGAGCGCGATTCCTCTGTTATGTGATTGCCACCGCCCATGGATATTTACACCTGAGAGTCCTTGCAGACCTTGCGTTGCAAAGCTTCAACATAATTTTTATCACACATCATTTATTTTTATTCGTTATTACTTTCATTTCTCTTAGTTAGTGGTAAGGTCAAAGATGTTAGGACCTTACCGGTAAGAGTGGGCTCTCTTTTTGAAGGTCCCTAAGTCGAAAAAGTCTCGAAATACTACTGGCGACAACTGCTTGAACGGGTTTACGAGTTGTACGATGGTAACATTTGGCAGCCGGTATTAATCCGAACAAATCCTCATAGCATTCCTCGTGACATATCCCATAGAAAATTCAAAAAGATGCATTTCTTCGCAAGGCCAAAGAGTTGAGGCGATCGGCCCGGACCTGGTTGTTGGCGATTCGAGCAGTTCTTAGTTGGATGCGGTGAAATAGATGGAGTTGGTATTTTTGTGCCCCAGATGAGAATAGTATTCCATGTCCGGCCAAAACTGAGCCTTATACAGGTGTAAGCAATGGGCCTACAGAAAGTCTCGCTCTATTTAGCACACCGAGCTTTTTAGAAGCCAGCTTAGATTTTCCTTCAAAATAACCACAAAATTTAATGCCTCTTGATGATTTCGATTGAATCTGTGGCAACAAGGGTTGTGCCTTCATAAGAGGAAAATAAGGTGAAGGGTTTCTTCTTCGTGGTAAACGATCAAACCTGTGTATTCATGGTGTTTAATTGGACTAGATTTAGTCAATCCTGATACGAAATTTTGTCTAAGAAATCCTCAAGTTCAGACTTAAGTTTATTCCGACACTCTTGACGTATTCCTGAGAAATATTTGCCTGACCGGTATGTGAGGCATCACCCGCAGTGTCATCTGTATGGTAATAAATGGTGCAAATAAGCAAAAAATCATTAATATGCAGAAGTATCAGCGTAGGGGACAGGACGCAACCTTGTGAGACTGTGACCAGCATTCACAAATCTATCTAGCTCTATTAAGAACGACCTTGATATTCCAACGACTAAGAAAACTGGTGATCCATTAGCACAATTTCTTAGGAAGCCGGTAAGAAGTGATCTTGTAAAGAAGTGTTTTGCTCCAAACCCGATCGAAAGCTTTTGCTACGTCAAAACTAACCGCCAAGACCTCACCTTTAGTGTCAACTCGCGGCCATCGATGATTTAGGTACACTAGAAGATCACCAGCTGAGCCACCCCGACAGAAAACATACTGAAGATATCTATGAGCTTGTACTCGTCACATTTCTTGTATCTTGTATCTTGTATTAACTGATGTTTTTGCTTTCAGTCCCGAGACTATTAAAGCTTCATCGGACGCAGAACCGGTGGGCTAGCCAGAACCCACGGGTTTGGACCCTCCGCTATGGGTAAGGTCGCGCATGTGCTCATGCGTGCGTTTAACTACTATGGTGTGTCATCTAAGGGCCGTCGAGGTCGCCGGTTCGGACCGAGACCCCGACGGCCGTCGACTGTGCATTTAGCTAATCGGTGGCTGGGAGCGGTGAGAACCGCCCCGGAACGCGGGTGTACCTTGTGTACGCGTTGTGTGGGTCTCGCCGTGCTCGGAGGCGAGGGCGAACTGGTGTGATTGTTGTTACACTAACTGTGGGTGTAGTGTGTTATCCGGCGGGACCCCCGGCGGTGGGTCCATCGTGTCTAAGTCCTCTTCGTCGACCGGGTCGATGAGGACGTTTCGCGGGCGACGCTTGTTTACGTTCGCGTTAGTGTCCGGTAGGTAGTTTGCTGCGCTTACCACCAGAGGGTTGGGATTATGCTGGGCTCTATCGAAGAACCGTTTTGTCAAATCTTTAAAATGTGCGCGAATCGTCTGGAGTCTGCAATCGCTGTGCAGGTCGACGTTGCGCTGATACCATTGCGCACCGGTTGCGCGGCGGATAAACTTACTTTGAACTACTTGCAATTCGTCAATGCGCGTAGGATTTATATGTGCAAAGATCATGCATGCGTAGGACATGATTGGCCTTACGCAAGCTTTATATAACAGTAATTTGTGCCTTAAGGGCATTTTACTATGCTTATTCGTTAAATTGTGTAGCCGGCCGGAGACGAACGCGGCTTTATTTCGGACTTGATTGATGTGCGTAGTGAAAGTCATACGCGAGTCGAAAGTGACTCCTAGATATTTGACCGTTTTCTCCCAGGGGAGAGTTTGGCCGTATAGTGATATTTGCCCCAACTTTCTGTACTGGCGAGGATCTTAGTAACGGTGTGGCGGATGGGGGTTGGGGGTGCTACGAGTGAAGTGAATCGCCACACTTTTTTCTGGATTAATATCGATTCTCCATTTGCGGAACCAATCGCCGAGGCGGTCGGCGGCGCTTTGGAGTCGAGTCGTTAATTGGCTGAGGTTGCGATCTGAGTAAAAGAGCGCCGTGTCATCCGCGAAAAGCGCGAGATTGAAGTGGGGGTCTCTAGGTATGTCGCTCGTGTAGAGCTTAAATAACAAGGGTGAGAGGCAGGAGCCTTGCGGTACGCCGGCCGTGAGGCGGCGGCTTGTGGAGAGGGTGCCCTCGACTCGATATCGAAAAGAGCGGTTCAACAAAAAGGCTCGGATGGTATGTACGAGCCTATCTGGCACTTTGACTGTGTACAGCTTGTAAAGCAAGCCGTTGTGCCAGAATTTGTCGAATGCTTTTGCGACATCGAAGAAGAGAGCCCCTGTGCTGATGTGTTTTGTTTGGGGTGGTTAAGGCCTTTTAGGATGTGCTCCGTTAGGCGGTATAACTGATCGGGACAAGAGTGTCTAGCTCGAAAGCCGAATTGTTCCGTCGGCAGAAGGCCGTTGGAAAATACGTGCTCTTTGAGCCTGTTTAACAGTAGCCGCTCGTAGAGCTTCCCCAGACAACTGAGGAGGCTGATGGGACGATAGCTAGAGGGCTTATTGGCTGGTTTATTCGGCTTGCGAATGCCGATAACCGTGGCTTGCTTCCAGTCATCCGGAAAGGAGCAACTGGAGAGAAGCGTATTGAAAATTGTCGCCAGTAAACAGATAAGCGGCCCAGGGAGAGCTTTGAGAATCTTATTACTTATATTATCTGGGCCCGGGGCGGATTTTGGTTTTAAATTTTTAATAATATCTTGGACCTCTTCGGGGGTCACTGAATTTAGAGGTTCGTCTTCCGGTGTAAGCGCAGCCCTAGTCTCGATTACGCGGTCCACATCCGTTAGGTGGGCCGAATCGGTGTGTTCGCGCGATGGCGTACATTGCTGCTCTAGGCCAGTAGGCGGTGTGCGATGGCTCGATGTCCTCTAGGAGAGTGTCCCACGTTGTATGTCGGTGTTCCGATACACGATCTTTGACTTCTAGCTGAAGGCGTCGAAGTAGAGTTCGGTTCGATTCCGATCGGTATCGGTCGAAGGCGCGTTTAGCTGCATTTTTTTGTCTAATTAGCAGTCGTAGGTCAGGCGGAAAGTTAAACCGTTGGTCGCCCGACAGTTTCACCGTCCGTTCCGACTCTGTGACTGCGGAAGTAATAGTTTCACGGAGACTCGCTATCGCTCGATTTGCGTCATCGAACGTAGCTATCGTCTCGGGTAACTCTACTAAGTCCTGGGGGTCCAAGGCCTTGAGTTTGACCTCAAGACGATGCCAGTCCACTACGGATTTGGTCGGAGAGACCGCGCCGGCGTTCTGGCCCAGTTTACACAGGACGGGCCTGTGGTCTGAGTCTAGTTCATGGATTGTCTCTATCGACTCAATGTCGAGCGAGACCTCCCTGAATAACATTATGTCTAGGACACTCGGTGACGCGTGCTGGTAGTTGTCCACCGTAGGATACCTAGTGGGAGTCGCGGGAGCGACTATACTGAAATTTAGGTTATCGGATAAGCTAAAGAGGTGCTTTCCGTTGTTGTTTGGGATGCTGTTAATGTCCCATGAGCCGTGTTTGCAGTTTAGATCTCCTGCAATTATCACGGAAGGGCCTAAGTTAAGAAGCGTATCTAGGTCGCTTTGAAGGAGGGTTCTATTCCCCGAGAGGTAGGCTGAGACTAGTACAAGCGGCCTGTGGCCGGTGAGCGCTAACCTACACGCGGATGCCTCTATTTGACTTAGCTCTGGAATGTCGAGCGGGCAACAGTGCAAGGACCGTTTATAATAAATTAGTGTGCCTCCCAGACGGTTTGCTAACCGATCGTGGCGGACAATATTGTAATTTGCGATTCTGGGATCGCGTACACTAGGTTTCAAGAATGTCTCTTGCACTAGGAAAAATATCTACGTTATAATCGCGAAGGAATTCCGCGATTTCATCCCTTTGACCCTTTATGCCGTTTGCGTTGAAATACGAAACAACCAGAGCCCGAGGTTTTGTTCTACCTGCGGTTGTACTTCCCATTAAGGTGTTTTTATGGGTCTAATTAACGACGCGGCGGAGCGCGGTTTTATTGCGCGGACTATTGTTCTTTATGGTTGAGCCAACCAAAAGCCCAAAGGGCTTCCACAAGCGTTTTGTGTTGGCTAATTGCCCTAAGACGCTCGTGGCCAGATGTGGCGGCCGCTATTTTAGCGGACAATACGGCGAGTTCCTGTCTATTTATTCTATCCAATAAACTGCAAATGTTAGCTATTTGCGCGAATGGGTCGTCTTTGTTTTCCGCGAAAACTGACGGAATTGGCTGCACCTGCGGCCGCGGCGCCGTTTGAGAGGCGGGCAGCTGTTGCGCGATCGGTCGTGAGGCGACTGGGATTACCGGCGCGGTTACCTGCGCGGCCACCTGGGGTTTCGCCCAGGCGTTTATGACGGGTACGGGCGCGGGAATGTATTTGACGGGCGCGGGTTTGGGCAACGTAGACTTCGCGGGGGATTTTCTCGCGGGAGTTTTCGGGGCCTTAGCGCAGCCTCTATAACTAGCCGGATGGCCGGTAGTGTGGCAATTTACGCAGTCCGGTGGATCTGCGCAATCTTTCGGCCTCGTGCACTCGGTTGTGCCGTGGTCACCGGTGCATTTGACGCACCTTGGGTGAGCGAAGCAGTTATTGGCCGTGTGGCCAAAATGTTGGCAGTTGTGGCACTGTGCCACAACACCTGATTTACGTGGGGGCTCGATGACTAAGTCACTGAGCCCACAGACCTTCTTAAGGTTGAAAATGGCCTTACCTTTCGGGGTAGGGTCAAGTTCCACCATGACCATGTCCATAGGGACACGGGTGCGAGGGTGCCTGAGACGACGCACGGCGTGGACCGGGTATCCCTGAGTGCGGATGTCGACCTTAGCCATATCGACATCCGACTCTTTTGGGACGCCCTTAATTACGACCCGAAGTTTACGCTCTTCGGGTAGTGAGTAGGTGTGGAAACCTACCTTAGCTTCGCGCAAGTACTTTGTTACGCGGCGGAAATCGTCTGACGAATCGAGGTATACGCGGATACCCATATTTGTATTTTTTGACCGGGGGTCTCGGATGTTGTGGCGTTCAAACCACGAACAAACCTGGTGCCACTTTGCCTTATCTTGTATAATTATTGGCGGCGGTGGCTTGATTTTTCGCTCGGAGGCGAATGTCGGTTCCGACTGGGCAGACGCGGCTGCCTTTTTGGCGGGCGTCGCGGTGGGACGGTTTGACAGGGCGGCCTCGCTTTCGGGGTCGCTGTCGGTAGCGGGGCGTTTCTTGCCCTTTTTTCGCGATTTGATGACGGTGAAGCCGTCGGCGTTCGCGTTGTTAGCGGGGGTCGTTTCGACCTCCATGTCTGAGCCGCCGTCCGATTGTGAGTCGGGAACGACAGCGCGGAAGGGGGCCGAGGTGGTTTGCGCGGAAGGCGCGTTGAGTTCGTTCGCGGCGGCGGAAGTCGACGCGACGGGCGTATTAATTGTCGCAGAGGGCGACATAATAGCTGGCGCAGAGGGCACCGGAGATGGCGGCGAGACGGCAGCCGGTGAAGCCGGACTGTCGCTAGAAAATTCGACGACGATGCGTCGTTCCCTCGCGAAATTTAAATATTTAACCCATAATTCAGGGCATTCTTGACGCAGGAATTCCTCTATGAGGGAACTCATGTCGACGCTTGAGCCTTTGGGGCTTGCGCCCCGCCGGCGTGTGGTTTTCTAAATAGGCCTCCCCACCTTGCGGCAGGGAGGTGTGTGCCTAAAATTAACCTTTAATCGCCTGCGCTTTAGGTGCGCTAGGGTGAGTACCTAGCTGTCGCCTAATGCAACAAGCACACAGATAAAAATTACAATGCCGCCTCTGAGACGAGAAATGTGTGTAGATTCTACTGACGGACAGGAACCTGCCTACGAGCACAACACTACACTAACACTATCCGCTCGGAAGTCGGGCAAAGTTTCTTCTTTCTTCTGTAACGTTTCTTCTTTCTTCTATAATTATTCTTCGTCACATTTATGACATGGATTTTGATAAACAAATATTAATGTTAAATTTTATTTATTTTTAATTATGTTTATCCACAGGTAATAATATAAAATATAATTAAAATTAGATAAATAAATCGTCATCAATTTTAATATAAAAACGGTTATATTAAAAAAAAAAAAAAAGCTTTTGTATGCTCTTAAAAATTTACTATCTAAAAAGCCTTTTCTTTGCTTTATAATTATTTATTTTGTACTAAAATATCCCCTACAATTTCTATTAGACTTTTATCAAGCTGTTTTACGCACAAACATTAGCTAATCATTTATGGTGTTAAGTTTCACGAAGTTTGGCGTAAAGCCAAATATTTCATTTCCTATTATATTATATCTTTTACTTTCCCCGGGATCCTTAATGTAACTTAAACTTCAGGTTTAACGTTACTTTGTTTATTGTTTTGAATACATGTGGGATATTTTTAGCCCAATATTTCAGACAATAAGTTAATCTAATTCTTATTACTAAGTAAACTATAGGAACGAACTATTACTGCGATTTACTTTTAGGCTAAACATATTTTTAAATGTGAGTTTAATAAGTAGATACATTGTCAATAAATTTTGAGCGCTGCCTGTTTATCTGCACTCAAGGTGCACCAAAAATAAATAATTAATTATCATAACTTTCGATAGCAAAGGAAATACCTTTTTTTTAAATATACGCTGTAAATTTTTATTGTTCTAAACAATGAAATAAATCATCCTTGGGATAACTTTGCGAGGAGACTCACACTTTGTAGCAGATTCGCAATTCTATTGAAATAAAGATTTTCGTTAAATAATTTCTTATAAATAATGTATGGTAATGATATCGATTAACAATTTGTTTGACTGCGTTAGTCCTTAAAATAAGACAGCTTTAGTAAATTAGCTTAAAGTAAGATATTATTCAGCTTTAGCTTAGTAATTATTTATTTATATAATTTTAGAATTTTATATAATAGATCATGCATACTTCATAAAGTGTATTTGCCAGAGTTATTTTACAAATTTAAATTATATCTAATATTGTATATGGGTCAACTCATACCTGTATTTCATGTATGTTATACATTTGAACTATAGATTTTAGAACATTTACCTTCCATGTCTTGCAACCACTCCGCCGTTAACGTAATAATAAATATACGATTAATCCGTTTACTGCCTCCAGCTTGTGCACTGTGTGTGTTGGTCATAAACAGTAATGGATATTCGATTGAGCGAATAAGTGAATAATTCCTCCTTACCATGCAGAGCCCCCTCGGACTTCGCCGCAGCAGGACGGGGGGTTGGTGGGCGCTACGCCCCGTTCTTCAGTCTCACCGCCCGATCCTTCGCCCACCTTCCCCACGGTGCGTCAATTTTTTAACTGGTTCTCCTTTTTATACCTCAATCGTACAATCCATTAGAAACTTGCAGGCGCTCCTAAGGCCATTTTGCCTCAGCCTTTACACAGAGCTCCAAATATAACAATACGTTTTTCTAGCCAGTTGTAATGCTAAAAATAATTAATAAAAAAACATTGTGTACAAGAGAATGACTAATAAACTTGTTGATGAATAATAAAATAAAATATTAACTAAGAAACTTAACTTAACTAAGAAACTGTGCGTGCTCGCAGAAACCTGCAGATAGAATGAATAGTGTTGAATGCGCTCGGTATTTAAAAATATCTGTCGAAGTTCTCCACACCTTATAATAATTTAAATAGTTCTATTAGAAAAAAAATAGACAGCTTGCCAGGAATAAATTATAATAAACTATGTCACATAAGATTTAATAAAAAAAGTAAAAAAAAATACCCATCTGATTTAAAAAAAATCTATTCATTTATGATAATAGAAACTCCTTATTTCTCATGATTTTGTTATTCGTTTATATTACGGAATTAACTATGGCTATGATTGTATTCTAAGCGTATATTCTCTATTTAGATACGAGGCGTGGAGATTGGCATTGTCGTTTTAGTGCTGATCGTATGGATCGGAGCGATAGCCTTATTCTTCAACCGCTGGGGAAAGATTCGAATGTTGCTGCCTTACCAACCAGACTATAAACAGGAGCAGCTAAAGGTGAGTTTTAGACAGAAGTATACAAATACAAAAATTTTGTAAATCTTGATTAGATATTATTGCTGTGAAAAGAAGTTTGAAATATCGAAAATGCACAAATAATTATATAATTAGTCCGCATTGATGTGAAATCTATTATACTGTTCTATTGGTTATTTAGAGTACATGAGACTGAAAAGAACAAAAAAGACATTTTAGAAGATTAAACATAGTTATTTCCACTGCTGTTTTCCATTAACAGGTGGAAGAGTGCACATCTCATGTATCAACGCCGTTATAGACCATGGTGTGTTATATCTTTCCTCCCACTAATTATTGATTTTAGATTATTAGCTTTGACATTTGCTAAAACCATTCAACATTTAAGGATTTCTTAAGTCATATCCGTATAGTTAATTTTGCTACTGTATGAAGGCTTTTACAAATTTAGAAACGAAATTATCATCTAGCTAAAATTAGAGTAGAAGTATGATACAAATGACATTTTGACTTCCATCATAACATTGAATTGTCATGATTAAACATTCTTTATATTACATTATTACTTAACAAAGTAAAATATTTTATATAACATATACGTAGATTTAAATAGATTCATCATTTTTCAACATATATTTCTAACCCTATACTTTCCATTACCAGAATGCGTAGAAGCTAGACTTCTGTCTGATATTTTATATAAATCATTGTTACTGAAAATATGGTATCAATTATTGTTGTGATTTTTTCTGTTTATGTACATTATATGAATAACTTAACAAAAATTTGATTCTACTATTTAAAACTTGATTATTTCGGAATATGTTTTAATTAAAGCATACACAATTTAAGATTAACATTCTAGTGATACGTTATATGTATTTCGATAAATATTAATTTATAAGTAGTTTTTTTTAATTGGGAGAAAGATAAATGAGTCTACACTAACATTTATTTCACTAAAAGGTGCCGGGTAGCAGTGCATTGGCTGCAGCGACCGCTGGTGGTACTTGCGGAGGTCATTCGGCACCGTCAGCCTGTTCGGTAACTATGGTGTAGATAAGCACTTCATTCATTTTACATAATTTCCAACCTATTGTAAGATATTTTTTTGTTCGTTACCTTCTTTTATTTTTTTTCCTACACTTGATTCTATTTCGCCGTTATATCGATTGATAAGGTTGTAGATAAGTATAATTTTGACAGCGATCGTTATATTTTCTTATACGTTTATTTTTCTCTTTAACTGATTACAGATCTTCTCTTTCTAGTCTTTAATCACAAACGTAAATACGCATAGCGTTGTACACAATTAAAGGCATTTATAAACAAGTGTTATTGTGGAAAAGGTTGGCCGGTAAATTCTTTTAATCAGATAAAGGCATAAGATTAATGTTAAGCGAGCAATAGAGGAGATTTATTCAATTGTATGTTCTGACGCTTGAAGGCCTTTGGGCGGCGACTATCCGAGCTAGTGATATTTAAAGCTTGGTAATGTGATTTCTAGCTGCAATGCACCACAGTGGTAATGTGAAGGTCATGACTAATCCTGCTGTAGCTTTTATATGTGAAATTAATTAATAGAAGGACTGAAGAAACTCATCTCCTATTCATTTTAACGTTCAAATTAACAGAACTTGGGTTTATTTCATATCTATATATGATCTTTTTTGGAAGTGACCAAAATAGCATGAACACTGTATTAACGTAATAAAATCTGAACATTTTGCTTCAAATTAAATTAAACAATATAGTAGATATGAAACAAGTAGAATATGATTTAAAAAACTAAAAAACCCGACTGCGTTTCTGTGTAATTTTTTGTTTTGATATACTTACCCAGTGTCACTTACACAGTAAATACGAACCTAACGACACCTCTCAAGCTAAAATCCATCAAGCCGTTCAGGCTGCAGAGCTCACCAAAAATGTATGCATACATACATACATACATACATACAGACATTCTCGAAAAACATAACCCTCCTTCAGACGCAGTCGGGTAAAAAATACAACAATGTTATGATTTTTTACATTATCGACTCTACGTATGAATTTGACTATTATTGTAATAAGCTCCTACTGCATAGCTACTAGATACTCTTCCTATTATATATTTCTATTTTATTTAAACTTAAATAAGTAACAACAAATAAATTATAATTAATTTGAAAATTAACAAATTCTGCTTACTCTCTAAATAGTTATTACTTTAAATTTTATATCATAATTTTATTGCTAATCTCTGCACTTAAGATATGGATAATTGTCAATTTTTCTATAAATTTAAAAGTTGCCTTAATAATTTGACTTACGATTCATTTTTCTACATTTAGTTTTTATTTTTTTTATTTTCCTCCGTGTCTAATGAAGGTATAGAGAGTCGGAATTTGGTTTGTAAAGACAAATTTGGATATATTCTAGTAGTATATCGACATACTTTTTATCTTAATCCTACGACGAATGTTTAAGCCTAAGTAAACATTTTATGCATAAAATATCGGCTAATAGGTTGTATTTTTGATTTGATATTTTTATAATTGATATGTTAATTTCTTACATAACGTTTTAAATTGTAGCATTCATAACTATTTATAATATTTAAGCTTCTTTACATTCGCTTTTTGCTATAATACAAAAAATATAGTAATGAAAGTATTTATTTTAATACGTGCATTACAGTGATATATTAAATTAAAATATTATTTTCATTGACGAGACAATTTCATTAAAAATCTCATCATTTTAAAATAATTTTCGTTATTATTTTTCTTGCGAATTAATTAATCTACATTTTTAAATAATTCACCGCTTATAGATTATGAAACAAAGTTTTATCAACGGCTTATTGTGCTTTAGCTTCGCTTATAGAAAATTTCTTACATATGTATTACTATATGTGTATATGTAATGAATTAAAATGTTATATTAAAAATGTATCATGCAATATATCCATTATATACTAATGTTAAATTTTAAATATTTTAACAATGTGAATAATTAAAAACAAATTGCGGCGATTAATGATATACGGTTAATTAACTAATAGGGCAGTTGGTTAAAATGTAATAATAATTACAGGTAAACGAACTTATAAAATAATTGAAAATTATTTTTTTAAAAACAGTCGTATAAGTTATATACATTTGGACTGCGAAGTTCAGAAGGCGGCACTTCCTCAAAATTCTGTGTCAAATACCATGACAATGATCAGGTTGAGCAAAGATCCAAATTAAAAATATTGACCGAGACGGACGAGCTGCTAATAGGGAATCACAACACCCGGAGTAGCTCTGTATCGAGGTTATTCTCGTAGGCCAATAGGCAGATTCCAGGGTGACCTTTGCGTCTGTGAGTTCTTCTACAGCGTAGCCCCGAACCGGCTATCGTCGACCGTTTTGCTTCGGTGTGGTGCGCAGGATGTGTGCTGTCTTCTGGATCGTTGCTTCCAATACCCGAGACGGAGCGCCCGCGACTGTGGCTGTCAATTCGCTCTGCTGCACGCGGCGCCAGACGAGCAAAATCAGAACAGCTAGCGGAGTCCAGCCCGCGTAAACGCGCGGGCTTGCCCCCACTGCCAATGCCGGTGTGCCGGTTGCGACCACCAAGTAAGCAGTAGCACGCTTACTAGTGTGTTACATGCCGCGTTTGCGTCGCACCCAATTGCAATAACAACACGCTCTCCCAAATTGTCACACGGTTTCATTGCACTGGCAGATCACTGAGTACTACGATTGGTGTAGACGATGTGTGCTGTTTGGTCGGTATTGGCCCTTCTCGATTAGCACTGATGTTCGTTTTTTGTTTGTTCGTTTTTGTGCAACAGCCAATTTATTTCATAATTTTTTTTTTTTTTTTTTAAATAGCTAATTAATGACGCCTATTTAGAGACGCGTTATGTAAACTGATATATATCTTCATTGGAAAATATATCAGTTTACAGACATCTGTAAACGGATATATTTTCCAATGAAGGGGGTGTCTTTGAGACATTCAGAATGTACCCGGAATACGGATTACATTTATTAGGTAGAACACACATGCGTTCATATTATGACGTACTTGATATATTAAATATTGATTAAATATGTAGTCTAACGAACCACGGAATAATATGCCTTGTAACATGTAGGTACTGTTAATATTTTTCTTTCGTTTTGTGTAACGAGAGATAATTGTTTTATCATTATTATTTAGGATATTTGCAAGAAATAGTATAATATTTGACAAACTACACTTGAAAAATTGCAGTAGTCTACTACATTGTATTCGAAAATAATATAAATTATTTTAATTTCAAATTTTTAACGACATTTAACGGAGTAATGTAGACATCTTGAAACTATTTAAATTTAACCTTACTCAATTAAGAAACACAACATTGTAACAGAGTCACCTTCAATTTTCTGATATCTCAAATTCGTGATTACCTGAAAAACTCGATGAAAAACCCGTGACAGGAAAAGGGAGGAGTAAAGGGATATATGTGAAAGAGTGATGGATGTGTGGGGGTCGTCAAAGATTTGCAAAATAAGTGCATATTGAAGCACATTGTGAGATCTAGCCTTATTTACACAAATGGACACAATTATGTATAATTGACTCTACGTGTGTTTACAAGCACCATTGACTTTAAGAACAGGCTTTGACAATAATAACATTATGAATCACGGACATGGTATGTATATATGGTATGAATAACGTTGTATATAAAAATATAAGTTACAAGATGTGTTTAAGGGTGAGATTATGAAATTTATTTTACTAAACGGCTAATTTTGAACTGTGTTTAGAAGTTATCCTGGCTGCAGATATTTGGTAAATATAAGAAAGAACCTATATGTATATCATAGTGGCACTATTTTAATGTTATAATTTTTTGCCTGTGCGAATCCTAGATCTTCAAATTGTAGACTTAAAAGATTAAGGTATCGGTAATTAACAAGATATTTCTGTTAAAATAAAAAATAAAAAAACTGTGTTTATTCGTCCAAAATTTTAATGAGAATATTATCTAGAAATAATGAAGATAAACATACTTTTTTATCTTGCTACCAAGCCCAACTAAGGAACCATATTGACTTTTACAAACAATACATATTGCTATTGACTTCACATGAATTTACACGCGAACTTAAAACACTCAAAACTTAAAAAAGTGGTTTATTTTAAAAAAAAAACTTAGATTTTATAATTAAATGTCCGATGTTAACAGGTTACATTTCTAAACTAATATCGAGGTTTTTCTTTTCAAGTAGATATTATTTTTTCTGATATGTCAAATCGGTTAAATATGTTAAATCAAATATTTTGATTGATTAATCGTATAGTGCAAGTTTTAATGTTTTAAAAGTATTCATTCATTCAAGTTAATCGATTATGATAATTGATAAGTATAAACATAACATATTATGTGGTTAAATTAAATTTTTCGATTTCTCTCTTTGATTGATTGAGCTGGTAGTTCACATTTCTATATAGAAATCTTCTTTTAATATCCAAAATAAAAAATATTAAAATTTGGCCCACTTTGTTATTTGTTAACGTTACGTTGTAAGCCACGTTAATATGTAAATAGTTTTCTGAATTGGTTATTTAACTTTATTTTATTAAAATACTTTTCGAATTTATCGCATTTGGCGTGTAAATATAAGATGTCAATATTTTTGACACTTTATTGGTTTTCGTCTCAGTTTTTGTCAGATTGAACCATAACTAAAATGTTTTTCAAACTTTTTTCACTGTCTGTTTGCAAGTTTGCACTGATCGATTTATATTATTTTTTATTTCTGTATAACATTTTCGTTGACTACTATAATTATTTCAAAAAATGGATCTGCTTCTTTCTTATTTAATGGCAACACACTGAGATTGAATTTACATTTTTAAATAAAAATAATTATTAAGATATGTATGGTGTAGTGCTAAGATGCGCGTTAAAACATTGTTAAAATTATGTTTAATATTGTATATTTATATTGTTACTGTCAACCTTTTATATAATAGTCAAATTTTGATCATGAAAAAACTAAAGGACTCTTTTATCGCCAAATATTCAGTTATACTCATGATACGGAGAAAAACACTAAATACTTAGAACTATACAGAATATAATCGCTGTATTGGATTGAAAATATAAAACAAATTCAGGAGATTATCTCGTAGGGTAAATTATTAAAATGCAAGGAATTTTAAATTCATCATCCTTTAAAATTCCTTAATTGCCAAATCAAAATTACTTTCAAAATGTGGTCTGTCAACAATTGAAGTTAGGAAAAAATGTAACTAACATATATTTTGTTACAGCATATGCGTTGGTCACATACACACACCCAAAGCTTGGAGTGCGAGGAGCGATTGTTGTCACGGTGTAATCGACCTCGAGTGAATTCTGCCATTTTTGTATCCGCTGAACCAACTGGATTCGCTGGTTTTGATCCAGGCGAGTTCCTAAGGCGCCATGGGTCACAATCAAAACTTTGTCGCAAAGCTAGGTAGGTTCAGCTTAACAGAAAAAAAAAACCATAAGAATATTAAGAAAAATACCAATGAATTAAAAACTGATTTAAATTAAATAGTGGAAGAGAAAAATTTCAGTTATATGAACTTTTTGCAGATCTGCAGACAACATACCGCTTACAACAATGAGTGACTCTTCTGAGCGACTCTGCAAAGCTAAAGCTCCGCGAGAAGAAACTATAAACGAAGAAGCTAGTAAATCCGACGACAGTGGAAGTGTTGAGACGGTTAGACACTTCGGCCTTCCTATCCTCTCAGTTTCTGGTCCCTCGCCTCCTGACGAAGATTATGATCAGATTGATGAGTACCTGTAGCATTTCCATACCAGTTTTCAGCTAAAGTACGTGTTGGAAAAAATGAGGCCTCCTTGGCCTTCACCTGCACAGAGTCCAAAATCTGACGATTAAGAGCCTTAAAGGCACCCAACACTGTATCGCTGAAAACTGACGATTTTATTTCTGTTTAAAAGAACTTTACTCTAGAAATTTTTCTAAAGTGTTTCGGAGCTATAAAGATTTTTGTCTGAAGACTTTTACTGGTGTGTCTTGTCAAGGGACCATAGTGTTTAGTGTGAGGTGTCTTTTTTTCACTATTCCTTTAGTGGTTATTGTATTATTATATTCCCTTATTCTCTATTGAGTGCTAAGCTAAAAGTAAATGTAAGTGATTTTCGAACTAAATTCACGTTAATAGCTTATAAGACGTGCACAAAAATCATAATTAACTTTTACCAGTGCCACTCATATTATTAAATTCTATACTTGAATGGTGTCTATAATTATATTCTTATAAGCAATTTAGTATAAGCATTACAAATAGCATTAATAAATAATAATAGTTATTAGCAATCCTCCAATATCATAAATAATTTAAATTTACTCTCCTTGATTAGTTGAATGTCTAGGACGTTTATTAATATTGAAAATAATTTCAAATATAATAACTTATTAAAATTTAAAAATCTACTAAATCACTATCAATTAATAATTGTAGCTAATTATAGTGTATCTATGAAGTGTATTGAAGGTTGAATTTTGGTCCAATGAAATGTAATAATTGCACGTGGTGTCATAGTATAAGTTCTAATGAAATATTGGAAGTACATCAAAGAGTGAAGAAATATGAAATGCTTAGTATAGTTTACATTGTAACGCTTAGCACTTGAAACTGACGTTTAAGAAATTTAAGCAATTATTTAGTATAATCTTTTATTTTAGTAGTTAATTTGTTTTACATATAATAAGCGAGCGGTGGATACTTGTCCTTAATTGTTTTACTAAAAACCAGGATGTCAATTATGGATCCATGACTTTTAATGCATGGATATTTGTAAGATCGATTTTAAAATGATTGAGAAACAATTAGGTCCGTTTAGATAATCCAGCTAAAATGGTTATCGGTTCATCTTCGAAATTAATTCCTATCAGTGATTTGGGACCAGGTGGAGGATCCAATCCGTGAATTCATTTTAAGAATGGTCACAAAAACGGTTTTACAAATAAGACTATTCAATTCCCTCCATTATTCTTAGACTCATTTTCACGGTACATGTACAGATGTTCATCATAATTATTTTTTACAATAACGATGTTGTCTAACTCTTTTTCATCCCCTTCTTGTTTTGCCCAAATACTTCTTTTTGATCTATTTCTCTAAAAAAACTCGTATAAAATGAATTAAAACAACGATTCTAGTCATTGCTTATATAAGATTTGTGGTAACTTACAGTAGATTATAAAAAAAGAAAGCCTTGTAAGTAAAGTAGTACTTTCATTAGAATTAATTAATTTTGACCTTGTGTCGAATATTGACAGTGTCAATGACATTTCGCACAATTTAACGTAGTTAAACGTATTGTTATGTAATCGTTAACCTTAACATTTTTTAAATTGAAAACTTATAAATTATATATAGATGATAAATTATAAAACAGTAACTCAGCGCAACTGCAGTTTGCAATAAAATTGACATTAAAATATAGAAAAATTAAAAGAATATTACGTATCTAAACTATATTTTCACTCTCGTTAAAATTGTGCGGTTTTGTCAAAACGATACTTTATATTATTAACTTTCCTGACTTCTAGGTATAGCATGGCCAGTGTATGTGGTAGAAGTTATCTCGTGCCAAGTAATATTTTCCAAAGAAATAGCAGCTTTTATTAAAACTAAATTTTATGAAATTGTTTCCTCCATGAATTCAACATTTAACCAATAGAGTCACTAATAAATTTCGTTTCACTTATATTTTATTCATATAAGATGTTAGATTATAATAAACGAGTAGGTATTTTTCTTCATAGTAATTAAATACAGAAGGTGTACATATCTACAAAGAACAAGATATATGCTCATATACCTACTTATTGTAATATTCATAGTTTCTAAAAAGTAATGATAATTATATTTACATCCTTATTGTATCTACTTGCTATCACAATGCAATAAATCATTAAGAAATTGAAATGCGTTTGATTCTGTAACCATGAGTGTGTCCTATAACCCCTTGTAAAATCTGAAACTTAATTCTGACCGAAATATTTTATGTTAATTAATTTACGACCCTCCCCTTGGCTTCACTATAGGTTTTCACAAAATTCAACGCAGAATCGGCAATATTTGAATGAGATTTTAGTCTGATTCCTCTAATAAAATTTTTAAAATTATAAAATTTTTATTTAATTATCAACTTATAATAGATGAAAGAGAAAATTATTTGACCTAAATTCTTTTGTACAGCTAAAAATCATGGGGTCCGAATAATGTTTCCGAGGCTATTCGCAACTAGTTAGGTGGAGTTTATTTCAACGATTCGAAAACGTATTCAAGTCAATGGCAGGCTCTCAGACCGTTAATTTGTAAAATAAAAATAAAAAACCCGGTCAAGTGCGATTCGGAGTCGTGCGCGAAGAGTTCCGTACCATTATCAACAAAAATCATTACCCATTTAAATATTTTTTATTCTATTTTTTAGTATTTTTTGTTATTGCGGCAACAGAAATAACTATTCTAATAAAATTTCAACTATCACGGTTCAAGAGAGTCTTAGTATTAGGGACCCCAAAAACTACTTAAAGTAATCCTCTTGCTATTCATAATGTCGAAATTGAAAAAAGAGTGAGATTTTAGTTACACTAATTAAAAAAATAGAATAACAAAATAATGAGGATAAAAGAGACTTGAATTTCTATTTACTGACTTTACGGAAAACCATATTTTCTGAATTGTTCATGAGATATATTTATATAATTACTAGTTGTTAAACGCGGCTTCGCCCGCATGGTCAAGGGGGGGAATTAACAATGTGTTCTTTTATACACCAGAATAGCTCGCAGATGGCAGAATTTTTACCTATTTACTTGACACTTATTATTACATTTTGGATAATTCACATAATATCTTTATTAATTATAGCCTATGTGTTATTCTGATGTATTAGCTATATTATTCCAAAGTTTCATTAAAATCCACTCTGCACTTTTTGTGTGAATGAGTAACAAACATACAAACATCCATACATACAAACTTTCGCGTTTATAATATTATATAAGTAAGTATCTGGTTTCAATTCACTGGTAAATCATCCGGTTTATAAATAAATACACAGTAATATTTAACCTAAACTAAGTTCCCTTGATTTTTAATAATATTTATAATTATTATTCGTAATAATGGCATATGTGAAGGTCATTAAACAATACTTAATTTAATCCTTACTTTCATATTAAATTGCCGTTTAATATATAAAAAGGGTTGCATTATGCATATATGATTTATTACGTTTGTCAAAAGTCTATTTTTTACTTTTTAATTATTTTTTATTACATTATTATTATTATTTAATAAATGCTCTGTTTTAGTCGGTTTTAAAGCCTTTTCTCCGCTTGATTGGCAAAGCAGTAACAGTTTTATTTTTAAACAGGCAAAGTTCCCATCATTTGGCACTTAAATTTAATAAACATTCTACACTTAACACCAACCGACTGCTAAGACGACCATGACTAAGCCATGTACATGACGTATGTTTTAGCTAATAAAATACGTAAAATTTGAAGCCCAAAAAAGATTTCACATTTTATATGCCGCTGAATAGGATCGTAAAAGGATAATAAGTCAAATTAAGTATTTATTTCGAACCTTACTCAGTATATTCCATTCTGAAGCGCATGTGATGCTGAACGAGGTTACTAGGTCACAAATTCCAGTCAGGATCAATATCTGTTTATATTGAATGTGGGTTATTTTGATGTCTTAGCTGCATTTTTATAATAGCATGTGATGCCGGCATTTAATAATACGTCGTTCTGCCATTCAAACAACTCCAATAGTTAATTACTTAGAACTTTATTTCTAAAATATTTTGAAATAAGGGCCAAGTAGCGTTATGAAGTAGACCTCTCACAAAACCTATGGAAGCCCCAACCCACTTGGGGATAGCGTGATGCATTATTTCCTATATATTTCCTTATAGATTAGGTCTGTACCTAGAAGTGGGACATATAATATACATGTATGCTTTAACTTACGCACTTGTTTACGAGTATTCCACTGCAAAGAAACTGTTTTTGTATCTCTTCTTTCTGTGGAATCTGGCTCTGTCATTTCACGATTGAACCGCTTCAAGAACTAAATTAATAACGTAATTAGAGAAAGTACACTTTTTCTTTAAAAAAAAAAAAAACTTTGCTACGTAATATAAGAAGTAATACATCCTACATAGCATACTACGTTATTTCCAACATAATTCTTATACCATTCGAACCAACGACGTTGTTAAGTGAACTTTTATTGACAATAGTTATCGATGTAGGTGTTCGATTATATGCATTACCTACTATCCAATGACAGTATCGTCTTTATACAACGTTCACTTCAACCGAGTTGAATGACACATAAGGTGTTATTGTGTAGCCATTCAATCTAGACTGACTTCGAAATAATACGTTTATTAATGTAACACTTTTACTACAGTGGTGTTAGGTGATAAGAATGTTACTGTTCAGCAGAGACTAGTTTGATAGATTTATTTTTGATGTTAAGAAGCACGTATTTGGAAGAGTTTGATTTTTATTAAGGATGCGAACGCCGTATGACGTTTATCTTAGAGGCTAAGACACAAATTACTTACGGAAAAAAGATAAATTGAAAAAATATCTCAATCTGTCACAAATTTTAAACTGTGTCTTTTTTGCACTAGGTAAACACTGTAACGTAGATAAAATCTATTATAGATTGTTCGCCGTTCTTGGTTAAATGTACATTAATTTTTCCTACATTTTTGGATAAAGGTGTTGTCGTAGAACTAATGTAC